GCTGGAATACCATGTTTCAGAATTAATTTCACCAAGTCGCGTGTGTTGTGGTCGGTGCAAAGTTACAAATTTAGAGAACTGTGCAATAAATATCGAAAAATGCAAAATGCTCTAATATCGCAGATATAATTGTTTCCACTTCAATTTTCTAGATTGTCATCGTGAACGAATCAGAAAATGGTTTTGGATCTTTGCTATCATGATTTCTGAGTTAATCATTTCTTCAACTTTGGCAGTGAATGCGTTAGCTGTGACAAACTTCAAATTGTAATTATTTGCATTTTTTGTTTCGTAATGCTCCGAAACCATTTTCGATAGCAAAAAATGAGTCTTTTCTGTCATTTATTATCCATAGTTTGAATTGACTCTCAATTTCATTATTTTTGTTGAACTTCTTTCTCTTTATTTGCCGTAATCATTATAATCTTTCAGGTGTAAAACAGACGATTTTAATGCATTCGTAATTGTTGAGGGTGAAAATCGTTTCATTCATTCCTGGGATTTCCTTCGAACTTTGCGCTGTTTTCGAGTATTTATCGCACTGTGGAATGTTTTCATTGTTTTCTTGATGCTGGTGTTAGTTTCTTTAAATATAAATTGTGGTTCCATATTTGCCGTAAATTTGTTTTAAAACTATTTACATTATGGATGTACTCTTTAAATTAGACTCTGTTTGACTGCGAATTATTATCTCCTCTCTTTCTCGTGTAATTTGAACAGTTTTTAAGATTTTTTTCTCAGTAAAAAGAAGAATGAATTGGGATAATATTAGTGGTGCATGTGTCACCTCTGCAAATGCAAGAAGAAGTTTACCACGCAAAAAGTGGATTGAGTTAAGCAGAGATGGTAATCATATTTAAATTATATTTTGATGAATCCTTACAGTATAAGAATAATATTTTACATATATTTATCTGATTTTTGATGATGTGTGATGTATTTGAAAATAGCTTGATCAAAACTAAATCAAAAAATGTTTTCGTAAGTTGCTAATACTGCCGATATATTGTACAAAGAATTCTTTTAGTTGATGAGAAAAAATTTGTTATTTCTTACTTATTTCAGGGAATGTTTCAGATTTGCAGTCGAAAATAGGGGGATCTAAGAATCTATCTTTTAATTTCGATGTTATATTGTCAAATTTGAGGTAAAAACCGCTTACTGTAATTTGTTCTTTGTTATCGAATTTGGAAAATTTTTTGGAGCTTTCAGAAGACAAATGGCTGACAAAGCAAATGAAGAAGAAGCAGTATTTGAAAGTTTGGAACGAATCTTGCCAAACATTTCTACTAACAGAGGTAATGTCAGTAATTTTATGACCTTTAAAAAAATTTTTCGGAACTACAAATTTGTAGAACAAGGGATTAGTTTGGATAATTCGCGTCCGTTTAATTTGGCATTCACACGACTTAAAAATCAAATGACTTTGGTTGGATCTGATACAAAGCAGCTTGCTAGTAAACTGAAAATGATTTGTGGTTTGGCGGATAATATTTCAAGCAAGGTAATTTTTTTAGAAACTCATGATCATGTTTGTACGTTTCAGTGAAAGTGCTATTGAAATGTGGAAAATTTTTTCATTAAAGTTTAGAAAATTTCATGTTTCATTTTGAATCGTTTAATATATTATGTATTATCTGTTGTTTAAGCAAATAGAATTAAGGTTTTGGCGTTGGACGTAGCAAAAGGTCGTGTAGTCGAATGCTTGCAACGAGTAAACGATTTGATGGATTTATGTACTTGTGCTGATGGTGTACGTTCTGCTATCGAGCAAGAGGATTACGAATTAGCTGCCCGACATATTCATAAGTTTTTGACTTTAGATACTTCGGTTTTTCGATTGAGCGATCAAGAAGAAGGGAAATCAGGTACAAATGTTTGAATTGGCTAATTCTTGAATGTTGAGTTTAACCAATTTTTTAATAGATGATGGGCACTCCATGGGAAAAAGCTATGAGATTTTACGTGAATCAGCAGCTGAAATGATATTAATAATTGAAAAACGCTTCGATCAAGTTATTTTTTCTATTTTTTTTCATTTTGTTTTACTCATTGTTGAAAACCAACAACATATCTTTTTATATCAAAAATGTGCTATGAATGTTTTTACATTGTGACTTCTAATCTTATCTATTTCATGAAATCACTTTTAGGCTGTGGAAAATAATGATATTGCTTCTATTCAAAGATTTTTCAAGTTGTTTCCTTTTTTGAATCAATACGAGGCTGGAATAGAACGGATTGGTGATTACATTTGTTCAGAGATTCGTAAATTTGCGAAGCGGAATAGTGAAGTGAGCAGTGATTTTTCATGCTACTTCCATTGCATGTTTTTGAATGTTATCAAGTTACCAAGTGTAAAGCGAGTATTTAAATTAAACAATTTTAGTTTCATGACTATTTATGTATTGTCTGAAGTTCAGTGTCATCTAAAAATTAAGTTATTGTTTTTTTATCTGCTGTTTGCAGTATCCTAATGCATTAAAGATTGAAAGCATAGTTCTTCATGTTTAGCACGAACTTTTTATTTGTGTTGCATTAACGTTATGATTTAAAGATGATGCTCGCTGGTGGAATAGATGAACGTAGAGTAAGTGTGCTCTATGCAGATTCACTGACAATGCTGTTTGAAGGTAATTTTAAAGCGTTGTTTTCGTTATTTTTGTATCGTGAAATGGATCTTTTGGTTTCAGAAATTGCTCGACAGATTCAAGTATATGAGCCACTGATTATTTCATGTTATGGTCCAGATAAATTGCTATCGTTGATTGAAATATTGCAGGCTAGTAGACGTTTTTGGTATTAAATGATAACATTTAAGCTCTGAAAAAGGAGTATGTTTCTTTAAAGAAAAAATTAAGCTTAACGAAAAGTATAGATAGAGTGATTTGAAAAAAAACGTGTACTTTTCACATAAATTTTTGTTTTTAGAAAGAATGTGATTCAGAAGCTGAACGAATTATTGATGCATTCACCGAAAATAGGCAATTTGATAGTAAGGCAAAAGCAGTTGGAAAGTTGATCAAAAATTTAGACAAACATGTATCAGGTTGGTGTGGTTTGTAAAGTGTTACATATAGAGTTTTCTGTGTTAGAATATTTCTTATTTAGTTGAAAATGTTTCACTGCGGGTCACTTACTCATTACAATTTTCCATACTTCTGTTGCTGGTTTTAGATAAAATCGACGCATTGGAACTGGACATTTTATTATCCGAAGTAACGCTTATGCATTCTAGAACTAATTTGTACTGGCGTTATTTGAAAAGACGATTAAATGCGGCAAATATGAAAACTGATGAGCAGGTGAGATAAGAAACATGTTTTCACCTATTACAAAATAGTATTTTGAAATTCAAAAAATCTCGCAATTCCGATCAATTTTCTATTCTTGCAATTTGCTTAATTATTTTTTATTATTATAAAACTTTGCTTGAAACAGCAGAACTCGGTTGCTACGGAAATGAGTTTTGGTGAGGCACAGCGTTTTAATACCACAAAATCAAAACAAAAGCAAGAGAGAAGTAAAAAGTTGGATGATTTAGTTTTGCGGTCAGCTCTTGGGACAAAATTACAGGTGCATTTCATGTAGCGTGATTTCTTCTCATTTTGAATAAGCCTTATTCTGACATTGGGTTTCATTGGAATTTTGACTGATTTTTTATTATTTTTGAAACTTTTTTAATTTAGGAATTGCTCGGTAATTATATTCTCATGGAGCAATTTTATATGAAAGAATCGGTTGCGAAGGCAATGATAATGGATTTGAAAGAAGCTGGCAGTTTAACGAGGTGGTATTGTTATTTAAAGTTTTCGCTTGCGTATAATAAAAAATTATTTCAGATGTTTAAGAGTTTTATATTATATTGTCTATGAATATATACAAATTTCTCTTTCTTTCTTTCTTTCTTTCTATCTCTCTCTCTATATATATATAATATAGAGAGAGAGATCGAGAAAAAGCGAAAATATAATTTACTGGCTATAAACTCGAGGCAGCGATGAAATGCAGAACGAAAATAATTCCTGTAGTGATGATTTGTAATGGAGTAATGACGGCCTTCCATAAACGTTACGCGAAGGGAATCAGTGTGTCTGATCACATCGTGCCAGATATCCAATCAATAGTGCTCAAGAAGATGCTCAAAAACATCTCATTAGATCAGCGCCGTGGATTCGATGAGGACGAAGCAGCGGAGATCAACACAGCAAAACTGAGCGCAGGGCGGGTGCATGGAGAATGCAAGAATACGATTCAGTGCAAGAATCAATAATAAAGGAAAGAAGAATAACCTCCATGTGAAATTGATTTGGTATATGTAGATAGATTTAATTACTCAAGTTTGAGATTTTCGTAGCTTTGCCGAGGTGCTGAGCGGTTGACTTCGATTAACTGTGTTCAGGAAACATAAAATGAAGAGTGAAAAGAAAAACCTGTATCTTAAATCATAAAATTAAAGCAATACGAAAATTGGAAAAAAATACGATTAGAAAAAGCTCCATGAAAGGTGTGAGAGAGCACTTTGCTAGTGTACCGGAACTAGCTGCAAACAGATTCATCACGCTGGAAGCTTTCGTTTGTGGAAATCGAAATTTCACAAAGCAGATGGTTAGGAGAGGTACTAAAAGCGGTCGTTGACCGTTTCGGAAGAATACAGAGAAGGGCATAATCATTATGTCGTTCTCTACATAGCAAGAAGTTCTTTTGTGCAATTATTCTCGAAAAACTGAAAAAGGAAGCAAATACATGTATTTCAGGTAGTCCATGCTCACAGAAGCAGTTCTTGAAACAGTCAACGAAACGTGTCAAAGCACAAGACGCGTAAAGTAAAGCACGCTATATAAGTCTAAGGCTTATTTAGATGTAGAGGAGAAATACCTAGTGCTGATACCATCTTCCATTTGGGCGAATAAAAAACTAGCTCTCAAAATTCGGCTTCAGATGGGAAAGTATCATGCACTTCATAATCTAGAATTAATTCTTCTAGTTAGATATTTGTTGAGCAGGTTGTCATCATCCCCCATTTTCAAATTCCACATCATGGCCCAGAACTTTTCTGCCCCTACTTTGATACTAACAGGCTGTTTTCTATAATATCTTCTGAACGGTTCAAATCTTGCGTTTTGGATTTTGAATGCACATGGGAACTCGTAACTTCTTATTTTGTCTTCGTTAACTGTCACACGTCTTGTCAGTATGTTCAACGCTTCATGACAGTCACGCTTAAAGAGCAAGTATAAGATTCATCTCCCTCATACACTTCTTGGCCTCTTTAAGTTTTTACCTCCCACTTTTTTATCGGTCAAAGTCCATTCTATGAGAGTTTTGTGGAAACTTAAAAAGCTTACCTTCTTTCTTATGCTTGCTTGCTTACAGATGGCTTCTTCTCTCGCCTCGTTATGTTTTCATAGCATTGTTGTGCTGACTGGAGCTGCCTTGCAATGTCAGTCATTGACTTGGGAGGATTCTGTGCGGCATAGTCACTCTGCTATTCGGTTCACTGCTCGAAGTATAAGCGGGTCAGCTTTCTCCAATATTATTTTCTGCACCCACTTTGTTCTATCTCACGTCCTATAAGGTACTTCTGCTTTATGTTTTATTGAACTTTCGACTTACGAATCGTATTTTCCTCGAATTAGGTGTCAAGTACCTTGGCACGCTTCGTTGTTCTCTCTAAGAACCGTTTCAGCAAGCTTGCATGACCTGCAGTGATAGTGATCGCAGCATTCGTTTGCTTCAGTTATTGAAGGCTAATCGTGCACTCGAACATCTCGCAATACAGGAATCGACGCAATTGCTGTCACACCCACAGCTTTTCTCGAAATTGTCATGAATCGCTTTCAGCATCTCAGCCACCAGCTCAGTGAAATCTCGATTTCTGGTCTTTCAGTACTTCGAGAGTGATTATTCTACATTCTTCTGGTCTCGGTATATAGGAAAATACAGTTCATGAGTCTAAGGTGCTCCTTCATATCATTTACGGAGTTCTTTTCAGCCGCACCTGTTTTCCAGTCATTTATGACTCTTTTTGTTTTCTGTTTTCTCTTTTTCAAACATGGGTGATACAATTGTGCTATGAATAATATTTACATGTATATATACAGCCTCTGTGGAGTATTTTTAAAAATTTCATTATAACGCTGATTTCAGCTCTATGCTTGATGATGTATTTTTCATTGTTCGTAAATGTATCATTCGTTCTCTCAGTTCATCATCTGTGGATTGTACTTGCGCTGTTTTAAATAATGGTGTTACTGCATTGGATATGGATTTTTTAAAGTACATATATCAAGGAATCAAAGTTAGTATCTTTTAAATTCACTTTTATTATATTTTGGTCATCGTTAATCTAAAGAATTTGTAAGTTTTTGCATACAAAGAAATTTAGAATGGTTATCCGGGTGTGGGCTGGACTGCAGAAGCATATCAAACAGCACAAACAGCTTATAATGTTATACAACATGGCAAAACAGTTGCAGTGTCTGGACCTGAGAAACAAAAAGAAGTTATTTTTTAAACGCTTGTAATCTGGGAAATATAACTTGTCATTTATTAATTTATTTCTGATGCATGTGGTGCTTACCAAATCTTGTAAAAATAAATATATATGGTAAATTAGAATTGGTGGTTTCTTATTTTCTTATTCGTGCAAGTCTTTAAGAAGTTTGAATTTGTTAGGTTTCAGTTTTTCGGTAACAGTCTGAACGTCTTTTCCATTTCAAAGATTTGATCTTGTCAGAAATACTGAAATATAGTGTTTTTATAATTTCTAGTATTTTTAGATTTTCTTGATGTCTTTAAACAACGTCCGTGCGTCTGCTGAATGCACAAGGGCATTGAAGAAAGGAATTTTGGAAGATTTTCAAAAAAATTTGACTGAAGTATTTTTTGCAGTTTTTTTTATTTTGCAGTGAGCAGAATGCAATATAATGGGTGGGTAGTCCGCACTATTTCAATTGTGCATTGATAGCAGTGCTAAATTTGGATTATAAAATGTCTCTCAACTGCTTTTGTTTAAATTTTTAATTGTAGCTCAATGAAGTTGAAAAGGGGAAATTAGAGAATGCAACCAGTCAACTGGATGATTTGGTGCGGAAATTTGATAGCTCTGCTAATGTTGGCATTGATAAATTATGCACTGCTGCATTTCGACCGAAATTAAAACCAATGTATTCTTTTGCTTTATGTTTCATCAGACTCTGTTGTGCTTCTGAAACTGCGTTGTTAATTTTTTCCCGCAAATGCACATAATATTCTTAAAGGGTTTGAAAATTGACATCATTTAGCATGGATCTTTATCTGGATGTTACTCATACTCCATCTGAAACTGAATTTGCTAATTTCGAAGCTGACAACCCGTTTATAGATAATTTTATCGCAACGCTTGATCGTCAATTTGCTGCTTTTGAATCTCTGCTTATTCCCGCCAATCATCAAGTAATCTTTCAAAAATTTGTAATTTACATCTAAAGGGTTTAATTTCAAACTATAAAATGTGTGGGTTTGAGTTTTTTGTCTCATCAGCATTTTTAGGAAGAAATGTCACTGAAAATTATTTAAAGGAGTTGTTGGCCGCGGTTTGTGCCGAAATCTCTATGCAGTTTGAACGGGTAATTATGAAAAGCTTGTATAATCGGCTTGGTGGTTTGCAGCTTGATAAAGATTTTCGTACTCTAAGTTCTTATCTCACAAATATTGCTGGTTGGATTGTACGAGAAAAATGCACAAGATTGTCTCAGGTTTCTTTCTATAGTCTTTTTATATTTTTTAGCTAATAGTTTTTAATGTTTAAGATGTGAAATTTACAGAGTTCCTCTGCAGAGTTACATTTTATTTATTTCATAGTCTAGTGATTTGCAGTGTAATTTTTTCTAATTTGGTTCTATTTATACTACTATTCAATATCCATATTTCCATCTTTCAGGCTATTTTATGTTATTTTATTTATTGATTATAGATAGTTTCCATCATAAATGTGGACAGTGTGGAAGAAGCAGAAGAATGTTTTCACCAATCACAACTACACAACTGCATATTAACAAGTAATGAAGCAATGAAAATACTTGTGTTACGAATTGATTTACCGTCTGATGCAATTAAGAACGCATCATTTTGACTTTATTATTCTAATCTTGTAGGATTCTTTCGAAATGTACGTGATTACTTTTGAATTTTTGAATTTACTTTCTAAAAATTTTTCTGTTTTTAAAGTAATTTATGTGTAGATGCTTTTTGTGGGTCTAGTTTTCGAGATTTTCTAATATCTTGCTTAATTTACTGTATGATTGATGTAGAATATTGGGCACTTGATGTAGGCTAATCATTTTAGTATTTTCTGGGACATGGTTTCGAAGAAATAAAGGATGTCGGTTCACTTCTCATGTCTAATGCTTTTTTAAAGTGTGACTGGTCAAGATTTGTAAAAAATATTTTTGAATCAACATATCAAGGCCAGGATTACTGTATACAAGAATTATTCGAAACATTCTATAAATTTTAGGATAATTATATTATCGGCATTTCAGTACTTTACTGGAGATTGTTCTCAAAACTTTGCGCAAAAGTTTAATCAAAAAAAGCTAGAGATGTTTAATTGCTAGCAGTACTTAAGGCATTAGTTAACGTTGTGAAATTACCATTCGTATTACCTTTAAATTTTAATGATTTCTTAGTCAAGTTCGAATCACTTTATTTGTTTTCTGGTTATCAATACGATCTATATTATTTGGTTGATTGCTTTACTGATTAATTATCGTTTTGCTTTGAAATAAAGATCTAAAAATCATGTAAGATTTTTAATACATTTCACTAATGTTTCGAAAATTCCAGTATTTTAATCTGTTTAAAAATGTTACGCAGTTTTCCAACTCGTTTAGCAGTATCACTTTTACTACCTTTAATTTATGCCAGTTAAACATTCTTGAAATAAGCACTAAGATTTTCTTCCTTATAACGTAATTTTGGAGGTCAAGTTATTGTTTTAATAACACGTGACGAAAACTGCTAAAAAATAACTGGATCTAAAAAGCCGTTAGAAATTGTGTGAAGAAGGAAGATTTTTTGTTGCAAATTTTGCATAGCTTTTCAATTAAGTGATCGTTCTGTAATGAAATTATCGAAGTGAATATTGCTTTCTAATATCATAAATTTATGATTAAAGGCATATGCAAACAATAAATTGCGACAAAAAAAAATGTTGCAAATGTCGTGCATGGGTCTATACAAGATAGTTTCTGTGAATGAATATATAGCAGTGTATCTTATAAGTGCAATGACTTTTGAACCTTCATTCGTTATTTTTCTTAGCGAAGCTCTTTTGTTAACAAACCTTTCCTGCCATATAAATATATCTAATTGTTACATGCTGCACTGATTTGTTATTTTAATATTTATTTCCGTATGCAAATTTATTCAGTCATAAGCAGCCAACTAGTAATCTAATTATTTTTAGTCAAACGATTTTAACGTTAGAAAATCACGAAATCTAAACTACCTTCTTACGTCATCATCGTATGTTCTAGAAGTGGTTTATCCATCAAGCCCACTTTCGTTTACATGAATAGCTCCATAGATCACTGGACAGTGATAATTATTGAATTTGTTATCGTTATCACGATTATCATTATCGTTATCACCCAGTGTAGTTCTAGTGATTGCTATTATCTCATTTGCATTATCACTGCTTTTAATTACGTTCTGGATCAACTATCTCTAAAATATATTAAAATTAATATTCAAATTTGTAAGATATAATTCGAAGTTCGATGTTGAATTTTTCCACACGGTTTTGCTTTCTTGGTGTTATTTTGCCAAGTTTATTGAGAAATAAATCTTTTTTATCCTTTATATGTTGCAAATGGTATTCCAAAGCATGTACATGAATAGTAAACGTGAAATTAACTAATAGGGAATGAAAAGGCTAGACATTTCTAATAAATTTTTGAAGAAACAATCTTAATTTCCAATGTGTATTTTCTACTTTTCCGTATCTTTTTGACTAGTATCAATCATTTGGAATCTGCTTGGGTATTAATTGAATCATTTAAGTGTACAAAGTAAATATGTTTACCGCATTTACTTTCTGAATAAAGCACTGTAAGAACTGAGCTCAAAAATTTGAACCGAAAGTAAAGTAATTTTGTACAGCCTTTTACAAATGTAAATGAATATGACTAGCATAACACCGAAGATGATTGACTATATCACCAATTTGGGATGGGAATGTAAGATGCCAGGAAACGTAAGCATTACTGTGTAATCAGTTTAACAAATTTTATCATAAAAATTAGCTGGAAGATAAAAGATAGAGAACTTAGATCTGACTTCTAGTGTCTTTACCTAACTCTATATGAAGCTACTTCGCATTTTTTCTTTGTAAGTGTTAAGATGTAGAAAATGTAGAAATTGAAAAGCTGAAGAGTAAATAAGAAATGAAACATTAAAATATATAATTTTAGAACAAAAAAAAACAATAAGCCTTCTTTTCAAGTGATGCTGACGTTGTTTTCAAGTTTTTGCCACATTTAAGTTTGTTCCCAACGGAAACATTTATGACTGCTTAGAGTCACTTTGCAGACAAAAATAATAATCAGTCTAAATTTCTCAATAATAGAACTAGAACTTCCATCCAAACAATCTTGTTTCAGTGGGTAGAGGTTTTTTTGCAGTATCAAATTTTAACTTCGAATAAAAGACGTTTCACTGATATCAATATCATTTTTATAAATTATTATTGCATCACAAATATTTTGCTGCATCTCACTTATTTGTAAAATGCATGCAAGAAATGTTCAAGAAAGTGCAAAAATGGACTTAATCATTGAATTCGATGATATTCTTCTGAGGTAGTTAGATTTAGTCGAATTATGAATGCAGAATTGTGATTAGATATGAAATTAAAATACTGCAGAGTGTTGAGTTCATCTTTCTGCACATTGCAGCCTAAAGCAGTTTTATTCATTTATGACATTTAATTATACTCAACTTATTTATGCAACTCATAAATGCAAAAAATAAAGCCATGTTCAAAATACAGCTTCGAAGCCCAATGTTGCATTTCAAAATGCCAGCACCAATCACTTTATTTATTATTAAGCATTGTTGCACTCAACACATCGCAAATCAGTCGTGATGTATTTTTCTGCAGATTTATTTTTGAGTAATTTCGAAGATTGTGTAATTAAAAGTAGTAAATAAGCCTGAAAATTACGATATCAGTGATATATTAATTAATTCTGTAGGTTCCACGTCTTTGATTTAATTTTAAGAGTGTCAATCGTGTTTTGTAAAGTCTAGTTGACTAAATTGAGTTCTAATAGAAGCTTTAGAGAAGATAAAGCTGAATCATACACATTACATGGTTTTGATAGTTAAGTAAATCATGGTCAAAAGGAATGCTTATCCACTGCCATTTCTGTCGGGCTTGAAAAATCGCCGCATTTTCACAAAGTTCTGCAAATAAAAGCTTACATCATTTGTAAAGTGCATTTATTTTTTAAAAAATAATGGCGCATTACTAATCACTTGTCCTCCTTTTTATTGACTGAAATTCGAACAATTTCAGGTTAACTGGAAAAGCTGCATACTTTATGACAGCGAAAAAGTTTAAAAAAGTCAAAAATCTTAAAATTTCAATAACATTATGATAAAGAAATTGAAAAATCTTAAGTTTTGCAGCAGTTCTGAAAATTTTATACTCAAAACAATATGCTACCAATTATTGATTATCCATCGAGAATGGATAAAATGACTTGAAATAATTTATGATCAAGTAGTGAATACCTCTGGTGTTGTAGTAAACCTGTAATGTTTTCCAGCCGGTAATATTAATAAATCACCGTATTCACAAAGTATTCGAACCCAGTTACCACTCCCATCCTCGATATCATAATATGCAGAACCTTCGATTATCAAACGAGCTGTTTCATCGGACAGTTCGGATTCCTCGAATAGTTCTTCAATCTATAAAGTTCCTTCGACTTGCATCATATTAGTCAGAGCAAATTTGAATGAACAGCAGAACATCTAATTAAATACTTGAAATTGGAGTCTTTCATTAACTTCTTGTTCAAATTCAAACTAAACGTATTGGATGCGCGTTATTCATAACACAGAATTTATTGAATTTTATGGAACTGTTGAAATAAATACTCGATCGCTAAGTTACTTTAAAACAAAAAAAACCAAAGAATGAATATTCTAACTTCACATTCTTCATAACTAAGTCTGATTGCAACCTTATCCTTGAATTCAATTGTATTCTCTGCATCCAAAGTATATGTATCTTCTTTTGTTAAATTCCTTTCCAATTTTAGTAAAGCAATTCTTTTCGACATAGCCACTTGATTTGTTGTATCAATCTGGAAAATAAAACAGTACTTAATTGACTGTTAACAGTCACATTCGAATGATCTGCATATTGATGAGAATGTTGAATATTAAAAATATATTTAGAAAAAAGGGATTGTGCAACCGATACTTGCATTATGCTCTCAAATCATAAACTATAATAATCAACATACTAATCAGATTTGTGCCACTTTACAAAATAGATGAAAGATATTGAATAGCACCAACGTTTACTTTGAAATAAAGCGCCCCTGTTTGTTTTGCCAATTCATCAGGAGTAATCTTCTTTGGTGGAAACAAATGGTGTGGCAAACGAGGATCACCCCAGGGGTATGGTTCCATATACCAAATTTGTACCATTTGCACAAAAAGTTGGGGTTTATTAATGGAGAACAACCTAGAAATTCAGTTTTAATTTTTATTGAATATTCACCTTAACAGCTGTTAAACTTTTATTGAACTTTGTGTTTTAAGTTGAAATAAAGTTCAGATTTTATTATTATTCATGACATGAGTGTCAATAAATATATTACAAACTATTCGTGATATGAGATGTCCAAGTGATAAAATTAAAATGATTTAAAAGTATGTAGGAACACAATTTACAAGAGTTTCAGATCAGAACATGTCTTGCGATTGTGTGCGAAACCTGCTTGCGTGAAACCGTAATAATTGTTTGCTCACAAGGCGAAAATTAATGCACACATTCACAGACAACATTTGCATCAGCGCAAGCACACACATAGACATAAAGGAATGCACGTGTGTAACGTGACAAGCAAGTAATTTAGCTCGACCAAGCGTTTACACGTCAGTGCATGCTAACTTCATGATTTAAAAAAAATTTCTAAAAACTGAAAAAGCCTTAGAAGCAAGAAAGCCCCCAAAAGGATTCAATTAATTGAAAGGAATAAATAATTAATGAACAGTACATATGTCACTTACCACCAAATTTGATATAAACACTTTTTGAATTCTCTATTAAATATTTCAAAATGTTTTTGTATTCTGTTATTCATTATTAAGAATGCAAGTAGACTCTTAAACTTAGCAAATAAAAGCTAAAACAAGGTATCTACTCATATTTAGATTTATAAGTGATATGTTAAATCACAAATTATATTTCAAAAAATTTCATGTTTAAAAAAGTTTTGTGAACTTTTTGAAATGTCAATGTTGTGTCAATGTAATATTATTTAAAAAACTTATCAGTAGCAATCAATGTTGTCCTGAAGAACATTTAGAAATAAAATTATGAGATTATAAAATGCTACACTATACATGTTTTTTGCACAAATGGTTTCACTCTTATGGTGACACAATCCAAAGATTAAAATTAAAGTTTTTCTGTTACTTTTGTTAGGCAATTAACAAAGCAAAAAATGCTTACAAAATTAAAAGACCAAGTTTCTGTGATAAAATAATACAAGCATGAATAATCCGAAGAACAATTCGCTACTTCACTTTAAGCATCTCAAATACTATAATTGACAAGTGCATTTCTTTGTTAAAATTACTTTTAACTTCTGAAATAAGCTTTATCATCCAATTCTTCAATTTTAGTTACTATTTCATGGCAAACACTGTCATGAGTAAATGATGAAAGTAGTTCAACAAACACTTGATGTGCTGTCTAAGCAGAAAATTAATTCATTAATCCAAGTGTATGAGCTGTCACAGAGAGCGATGAAATAAACTATCACTAGTTGTTATTATCATGCAAGTTTTACATTTGATGCTTCAATTCAAACTATTACCACGTTTGATATGAAAATAAATATTTGAAGAGTAAAATGTCAGCTGGAACAGCCAACCGGTTTCTTTCAAAGGAGGCTGATAATGGTTCAAAGTTTCATCAAATTTTCTAGTTTCATTAGACAAATAAATTAATATAAATAAGTATTAAATGAATGTGAAAATCAATAAATAAATACTATAGTAAACGATTAAGTATTAATAAATAAAACGCATATACATAAATATAACTGATTTATGTATATGCGTTTTATGTATATATATA